ACCATTTTAAAAAGTTTTCAATGAGATCTACACCACCTATGTGAGAGTTGTACTCACGAATGATTTGTGGGCAATCTATTTCAATGTATTCTCTCTTTTTTCTATTATATCTATGAATTTTCGATGGCTGGATAGCAGCATTCGCTTTTGCAAATGGTTCGACACCTACATAAGTTGAGCATAGCCGAACATGTTTGGTGTCTTTCCAGAGAACCGTAGTCAAGTCAACTCCATACGCAGTAGCAGAAAACTCAACTGCGAAACCTCTATCCACTTTTCTCAGCTCAGTATCTGAATCGGATGGTACTTACAGTTTGATATTCTGTTGGCTCGAATGGTACTTAAAGCAAACATACCACGAGCTCGTAAATAAACCATTAAGGGCAGTGATGAGTAAAAATTGTCAAAGTATAGAATATGATTCACGAAATCAGGAATTGTTTGAGCTAGCCGAATGACGTCATTGCCTGTGGCTCCAAGATCTGGTGTGCCTGGTAAAATAGTGCTATCACCAGCACCATTATATACCTCAAACTGGTATGCATATCCATTGCTGTCGCACAACACGAAAAGCTTTATACCCCATTTATTGGGCTTGTTTGGCATATATTGCCGTAAATGGTGCACGRCCTTTGTTTTACACATCTGTTCATCAATACATAAACGAGCTTGTTTAGGAACGGAATCGAAGCGTTCAATCAAAAAATCAATAATTTTCCTTATTCGAAATAATGGATCGTACCGTGGCTCACCCCTTTTGATGCGCTTACTCTTATCAGAAAAAGACAAATGCTTTTTAATTGCAACAAATTTCTTCCAAGGCAAAGCATTTGGTACATGTCTAAATTCAAATTCACTCCAGTGCGCTTCTATATTTGGATAGCGAAAAATAGACATAAACATCAAAACGCCGAGATGTTTTCGAATCTGTGAAGATTATGATAGTTATGAACTGGCTACTTATGTCTATTGACCGCGCTGCTCGGTTGGTTTCTTCAAAAATTACGGCTATGAGTTCATCAGTCAAAAAATAATTTAAAAACTCAATCGGGTTCTTAAGCTTTCTGACGGCATAAGGTAAACCCAGAATCTCACCAACTTCTTCATCAGACAAAAGAGTTGAGTTCATCAATTGCTCGATTTCTTCATCTGTTATTGCAGATAATTTAAGCTTTCTTTTATCTTCCTCTGTGAACTCATGTGGCTTTTTCGCACAATATTTTCTTTTTTTCTGATGTCTGAACTCTTCCATTTTTTGAAAAAATATTAGAATTATATATAAATAACATTTTTCAATTTAAAAAGCAATTAAAAAGTGAACACCCCACATTATAACCAATGTGACCGATTCAGCTACGGTAATGTATTTTTTCCATTACCCGGGCAAGACCGTCCAGAGACGGTTTTACTATATTCTTAAAATCTTCGGAAATTTATATTTCGATATTATATGTTAATTAAATTTTAGAAATGAGCAATATGACTACTTACCTGAAAAATTCCCAACTCGATTTGACCACCGGAAACCACTTTTTTTAATTTTTGTAATGGGATAAGTTTTCTCGATAATTAAGATGCCACTTTTCACTTTCGGTGTCACTTGAATTCACCAAACTTTTAAATTATAGCGTTGAAATCATTTTCTGCTTAATATTTGTGTGTATTCAGTTAAAAACCAAAGAACTAGAGACCAATATCACACGACAACTTTGCTGTTTGAACTTAAATTCAGATAATGTAAAGACCGTCTGCAGACGGTCTTGCCCGACAAAGGGTTAAGACGATCATAATTTAACAGTGAATATAACGCTATAGAGCCATAATTATTGATTTTTTCGATCCAAAATATTCTTCGGAAGAGAATATTCGGCGCGTTCGCATCTTCTTTGAGCCATTGCAAAAAAACATTTGTATATCTTTTTAAAAACCAGGTATCTGAATTGTGACTTGGGGTAACTGAAACAGTATTTTCTCTCTGTTTATTAATACTAATAAAATGATGTTTTTAAAAAACGGAATATTATGTGATTGAATTAAAAAGAACGGTACTTGATGAATCAAAATTAAAGACGTCTACATAAAAATTTCAAATCTTTCGGAGTAAGCTTTAGAATTAAGGAGATTTTCTGACTTAAATATATACATAAGGCAATTAATTCCAATACCGTATAGTTCTTTTTTGTTATTTATAATTAATTTTATTAAATGCAATAATTTGTATTTTTACTCTTAAGGAAGATTCTCAACTTCATCTTCTATATTTTTTTTCTTCTATATTTTGTTTTCATAAATATGAAATGAATCGATTTTTTATACATACGTAAATAATGTTTACCTGCAGATGGTTGAACGTATGGAAGAGAAATTGGAGGCAGCCAATGTCGATCAAAAACGTCTTTTCTTGATCGTTTTCCAACGTTTCATAATGATATTGTCCGAACATTTAGTACGTTCTGATACAGACGGACGCGATCCGGACACCGATTGGTATCGCTGGACCATTGGTCGTCTACAGCAAGTATTTCTAATGGTAAGCAGACCTAAAATAAATAATACGTGATTTTTTTAATTTGAAATTTCGTTTTCATTTCTAACAGCACCACGAACAAGTGCAAAAGTATAGTAGTACGCTTGAGACGCTGCTTTTCACATCGGACTTGGACTCACACATATTGGAAGTGTTCCATCAGTTTGTAGCTTTAAGAGCTTAAGGCACTTTAAGATTATACAAGTTTTATGCGGACCATTTATTTTCTTTATTCCATTATTATATTAACTAGTGCATCCTAAAAAATTAATTTAATGGGGAAATATTTTTTTCAAGCATATCTATTGTAGTATCTGCTATTGAATATGATATAGATTCATTTGTGAAAAATATTTAACGCACTGACTAACTTTACCAACATTTAGTTAGAATAAATTTGAAATAAAAATGGAGTTCAATGTTTCATTGATGTAAACTTTTCCAGAATTGTAAATGCAAATAAGAGTGAAGGGAAATAATTTTACAACAAGCTAAAAGATTTTCCATATTACGGACCGGTGAGCAGTTTTAGTATGGTATTTTAAATATTATATTATGTTTCGAATATATTGTGAAAGTTTGAACTTGTTGTAAATTTATGTATCCTAAAATATCTATATTGACCGGATTTTCATTTGAGACATTTAATCGCAAATTTAGTTATCAATGGAATAACAGGAAATATATGCAAATTTAAGGTGATAAAACAAATCTTTTATTTTTCGCTACGAAGTAAATAATACAAGAATAAAGTCGTTTAATTGTTAATTCCTTTCCCGTCCTTAAATAACATAAATCAAACTTGCCATCTCTAACATGTACCTTTTATTGTTTGTGGTATGAGCCGTGATGTATTACCACCACGAAAGTACGGTAGGGTCCTACAAGTTCCTACGAGTAAATAGCTATCTCACCGATCTTTTTCGCTTCTTCCCTGCAGGAGCTTAACTCTCTCCCCCACTAAATCTACAACGACCATATTTACGAACTTACTGACGACGAGCTAGAGTTGCTGCGAGAATTTAGAGTGACCCATGCACAGCCTCGTTAAGGATTCTGTAACAGGTTAAACTCGTAATTATCCAGAATCGGCCCCTACATATTACATACAATTATATGTTCGGCATGCAACGAGTCTCCGTATGACTCTAACCACCTCATTCCATGCCTAGCTAACCCTACACAACCCCCTCCCTATAGTCCGATTCCGTCGAGACATCACGTTTCCTGGGCCTACCGTTGGATCACCTTGATGACAACCTACCTGAACCTTACCACCCAAGCAGAGATTAGATAACCGATTAGACAACAACGAACTGTACAAAGGCATATTGACTTAAGCTTAAAATCACAATCGATGGTATTGAAATTCCGACAATCAACAATCCTAAGATTTTACCCGCTACATTTGACAACCTGTGCGGGAAATGGAATCGATGACATGTGCTCAAAGGTAAAGACTATCTCTCCGAACTTTCTCGCTTCCTCGCTGCACGGAACTTAACACTCTCCCACACTAAACCCACAGCGACCATATTCACAAACTGGACGAATGACTACAGACTTGATCTTACTATTGCAGTCGATGGAGTTAAGATTCCGACTATCAATATTTCTAAAATTTTAGGTATGACTTTTGACAGTCTGTGTTCCTTCACTCTTCGAACGATCGCGATTATCGCCAAAGTACAGAGACGCAACAAAATCCTCAAGTCGTTAAGCTAAAGAAACGTTATTGGAAACTTACAGGACAACTACACAGCACCGATAGGTCATATGGATGTTGTAACGCAAACGCAAAAACTTCTAACGTGTCGTACAATATGCCTCTTGATATCTCCTATCGAACACCTACACAATGAGGTCTGCATGCTTCCGATTAAGGAACACCATGCACTGTGCTCAACCGCCTCCACATTTAATAATACGCCGACCAAACTACGGTAGAAATCACTTCAGACATGCACTGATCGCCGTTGACAGCGAAGCCCTCAACACCTTTACCGACTTCCTCCCAGTGAATGGCGTACTTGAGAGTTAAACCTTCATCAATAGCGGACGAAATATACATATATTCTACGTGCAATGAGTTCCTGCTCTAACTACATCGTTGCGCGCCCAATGAACACCACTCATCTAACACCCTTCTCCATATGGTCCGAACCCGCCGAAATATCACGTTTCCTAGACCTACTGACTTCATTAGATAACTTTCTCTTACTTTTAAGACGCAGGTTAGGTAACGGATAGAAAAATAAATTAAATCCACCATCAAAGGTCTATTTATTTGATTTTTGAATGACAGGTTTAACATACGTACATGTCGAAGTACAATGGCCATTAGACAAAACTTATTTAATATAGTTGGGAACTTAACTCTAGCCCAGAGCAAAGGAAACAACCACCCTTTCTTGTGGTAAGACATTATTTAAAAAACTGGTAACTATTACTGAATAATAATAAATTACAAACATTCACTCTTCTTGCTTTTCAAGAAATTATCTGTATTTAGTTCATTCACTTTTAGGACAGTATTTACACGATTTTCTCATACAATTCATGTATTATTGTTATACATAAGTGAATCTTTTGCCATATGCTGAAATTTTATAAGAATTTCGTGGATACATGTATATTTTTTCTATTAATGAATGAATGTTTAATCTTACATAAATATATATTACAGTAGCAAAATATAAAAAATTAAAATTAACATTCATCCTAACTCGTTTCTTACTGAAGTCAGGAGAATTATTTCATCCAAATATTTAAAAATTATGATAAGAAATTTCCTTTTTCAGCACGTCCTTCTTTTTTTATTTCTTACGAGAAAATAAATTGTGCCTGTGGATTTTTACAAATTAAAGGAGTTATCCTTTATCATGATTTTCCCGTTATGGATAACCCAGATAAAACTCTTGTCGTTTTCTGTTTTTAGTATGCAATCTAACTTTTTGCTTCACACGGTTGCGTGAAAGTTCCACATATTTTTTTACGTTCAGCTCAAAAGTTTTTCCGTCAGACTGGAACGTCTCTGAATTAAAAAGGAAACGTTGTAAAATAACACAAAAAAACAAATTAAAATTGCACTTACCAAACACAATTTGATTAATTATTTTTAAAGTATTGAGCGCCTTCTTTCCCCATCGTCCATCCCAATTAAAATTTTGCATTAGTGTGTCTGTAAAAATCCGACGAAGGACTCCATCGATGCTGTTGCATATATCCTTCAACTTATGTATAAACGCAACCTATTGAAAAATAAATTTATCGGTACATCCATTTTTTACAGTAAAATAAATGTTAAAATATATTTCTTATTATAGCGACTATAGAATTACCATTGACTTGTTATACTGTTTTATATTTAGTTTCTCCTCCACTTCCAAAAGAGCATCCATTGTTACAAGAGGAAATTTTGACGCGAATTCTTCAATAGCGACGTCTTCTATTTCCCCAAACATGTGACAATCCGAATGGACCTTTTTTAATATTACCTTCTGCTCTCGTATATTTTTGTTTTTAGCCATAGCTTGGCTCCTTTGAATAATCTGAGATAAAATGTAAATTAAAAGTAATTATTCAGGTTTAATTTTACAACTTACTTTTGAATTAAAAAACAATACCTACATCTTTCAATATTACGGATTCTGTGTTGAAAACGCTGTTCTCTATTTGCCCGATCCGTTTTTCAAGTGATTCTTGCTTTTTTATAATGATTTTTAAAAGAGACAGGGCTTCTGTATATGCATAATGTTCATCAAAAATATGAAAAAGGTATATAAATTTTTATTTTGTTTAAGGTATTTAAAAAGAAGTAATAAATTCAGGAAATCATGATCTTTGAAAAGATTTTTAACTTACCTGTATTGTTTTCTGAGGGAATATTTTCGTATCCACAGATTGTTGTACTTGTACTTGGCTGTCTTTCGTATGGGGTGCTTGCATGGAACTTCTTCCGAGCAGTTGGTTGGACTTAAAACATTATTTTTTTTATAAAGTACTATTTAATGCTATATGTATATTACAGAATACCTTTCGCTTTCGAATCCTTCGACGTACTCTGTACAAATATTTCGTCCATTTTTTATATTCTTCTTATTTTATCTAATGTAAAAAAATATGTGAGAGCTGTTTTTAGTTTTAAATTAAATTTAATAAAATGTGTATATCTATATTATAAAAAATATGTATATATTCTGTTGTTGAATGCAAAAACATTTAATAATATATTAATGTGCTCACCTAACAATATTCATAATTACTCAAGTTAACCTATTAAATTAACATTTCGGATGCGATTTTTTTATTAAAAACTTTAATTACATTTGTCATCTTATTGAAATAGAGCAATCGTAATAATAAATGTACCCTGTTTAGAATATTTAAAGAAGTCTTAAATGTGATGATCATGTGACGCGGAGAAAGTTGTTGCAACATTTTATTTTCAAATTCATTTGCTACTTCTCTGTTGCAATAAGCCACATGCATATAATATAACTGAAATTATATAATTTTATATTAAATATATTGGTCCTAATTGGCAAGATTCTAATCTCAACATATCATATGGCAGCGCTCCATATCCTCATAATTGTTAGCACATAAATGATGTTTATTACGAGCGAAAAAGGTAATTTTTAAAATATAAATTTCTTACTTATAAAACCTGCAGAAAGTGTAAATTGTGAATTTATTTAAATGTTTACAGTTTAATTAAAAGAATTTGAATTGAAAAATCTGCATCAATTGTGTTAAATGTAGTGAAATACCCTTTAGAATTGTTCGAATTTTGGGAACTTTTAAACTTTAAAGTCGAATATCTCGTAAGCTAAGCGTTTGCGGTACCTAAATATAGCCCTTTCTTACAAACGGTACCTTCAGATCGCGGCGCCGAAGAACTCAGAATTGTGCCCATATTACAAAATAAACTTATATTTAGTTTATACCGCCTAAATTAAAATTCAGTCATTATTAACAATAATCATGCGATTATTACATAGTCATATGTAATAGGTGGCTTAAAACAGCGGAAACTTACTTTTGCAATAGCTTTTTGTCATTCCCACGCACCTATGATTTTACAAATATGTAAATACGTTCTAAAAATTAACTTTTTACAACTGTATGTGAAGAACAAAACTAACATAGCAGAGCCTTTAATTGCGCGAAATTCTACTGAATTACCTTAAGAATAGTCCAATAAAATTAAAATTAATTAAATAAAAACGAATTTAAAATTAAAATTGATTAAAAAAATAGGAATTTAAAATGGATGTAGTATGAATAAGTTATGAACGGCGAATTACAAATGTACGGTAGTACTAAAAGATTTATACATTCGATCTACCAAAACATCAGTTACAATTACGGGAATTTTATGTGTTTTTAACATAGTTGCTCTTACGGGATCTTAATATCAATACTAATATAATTGTAAATTGCAAAGCAGATTATATCTAAAAAGTTTCTAATAATTAACTCAACTCGGCATTAATAAACACAAAAACTTCTGGTAGGACTATATGGTAATTACCTTATGATTATCCGATAGTTGACCGATTTAGGCGAAATAGTTAACCACTTCTAGAAAAAACTTTGTTCGGTTCCTCAACACCAAGAACGCAATGCATTTTATATTCATTTTAATAAACTCTTAATTCTTGACTCGTCGCAGACGCAAAATATTTCTCATGCATTTTAATAACTTTACTTACCACGTATGACAATCAATATGCTTTTCAATATAAAATGTTATTTTTACTGCATCTGCGATTGATCCCAAAACAAAAATGGTTGATAACATGCTAGCTTTAGTTGTCTCTTTCATTCCTTCCAAATTTTCTACGAGAGAAAAGCTAGCGTAAATTCTATAGTCTGAGTTCAAACAGGGGGGTTTTGTTCTTTTTTAGAGCACGGTGAAACAAGGAAATTTTGTAGCGGAAATTGAAAGATTTTGCGAGGAGGATAATAGCCCTGGGAGACGAGCAAAATTAATGTGCTTTGAGCAACGCTAAGCAATGCGAATTGAAATTTTATGGTGAAAGACGACAGACTTCTGCATTTAGACAGCTGAAATTTGTTTATTTATTAAAAAAAGTGAAATAAAAATGAATGAAATAAGTTAATTAGAAATTATTAATAGAAATTTTGGTATTTTTGGAAAATCAATATAAATTTAACGAAAAAATTCGTTTATTATTAACTACGTTAAAATAGATTGAAATTAAACGCAATAATTGATTGTAATGCGGTAAAAGTGTGCGAAAAGTTTAAGAATATTGGAAAAATCGATAGCAAACTGTGCATTGTTTATTTTCTGCCATCTAAAAATATTAAAATATGTTTTTGTTAATATACTTACACATAATTTAATTAGTAATATAAAACTGCATACCTCTGATGCTGTAAACGCAAAGGAGGCGGCAGACTTCAAGCGACATCTGTCAAAAAATAGCAAAAATCGTCCATTTCTGAGCAGTGCTGCCTACAAAATATTAAAAACCATGAGAAATAAAACAAACGGAAACAATTATATGTACTTAAAATATACGTCACAAAGTGTAATATTATTACTTAGTGAAAATTAATTTTTTAATATTATTATTTCTTCTAATTAAAGAAGATTTTGCAGAAAAGCTATTATAAAAAAGAAAGATTTAGGAGAAGTACAATAATTCACTTAATATAGCGAAAGCAAGCTAAAAAACAAAATTGAAGTAAAAGTAATATTTACTTATAGAGTTGGTTAGTACACATACAATGTACATATGTACTATATATTTAGAAATCCGGCATACGTTTATAATTGAAGAAGGCTGTAATTTTTTTTTTTTTTGCATATAGTTAAATCTAAAATAACATGCTATTCCATATTCCCTAACTCAAAAACTGGTTTTCTGAATGAAAATATGCTTACAGTTACTTATAAAATTTCGAGAACTGACAGAGGCTTTGACAACTTTATCTTGGTCCTCAACATTAGCACCATTCAAAATACCTTCACGAATAAATGTATATTATCAGAGCATGGAAACCAATTAAGCGGGACAGTTTACACGTATTTGGTATGCAGTACAGTTTTTACCGATCATTTGATTCAAATAAACGGGTAAATCAATTAACCACGATCAATTAAAAGGACGATGATATAAGTACTATATATGTATACACAGCAAAAGCTAAAAATTAATTTTGTAGATGATTAATGATGATCACACGATGTTGTCTGCACTAGTTAGTTTAGCAAATGTATTATTATATTAATTGTTCTTATTTTTCCGTTAAATTTTACGAAATTAGCGAATTATTAAAACGAGTTGTAATTGGGATATTCTTAATTATTATTCTTAGATTAATTATAGTAAATTACTCTTGGAGGACTTAACATATCTTCCTAAATGAATTGTATGTGCAATAGTTTCATCAATATGAATTTGAGTTATTAAGAACACATTACTTATACACACATTTTGATAGTATATATTTTTATGTGTGGCTTCATAAGATGCAGTAAACAAAAACAAAACAAAAATAATATTTTTTATAACAAAAAATACTGATATAATTTAAATTTCATAAAAATAAAACGCAAAAATATCTTAAAATTCATATCAAATATTATCTTTGTAAGTATTTAATAAATTTAACTATAAGTCATTAAATTTTTAAGTATTTTCAGTACACAAAAATACTTTTGACATATCTTACTGCGTTTAAAAAAATGGTTAAGTCAAAAGCTTGTCTCTCTTGGAGCATTGAGGACCTTTTGAATGACCTCTACGTCTGCATAAAGCTTTCCTTTCACGGGCAAATGCATTTTTCCGAAAAGGAAGAAGTCGTACGGTGCCATATCAGGTGAATACGGGGAGTAAAATGTGGTTTTTGGTCAAATAATTGGTCACAAGCGTCGAACGATGAGAGAAATTTTTGGTCGTTAGTCAATTTGTACGGAACACACCTTTCGTAAGCCCAAATGTTCTTTCAAAATGCGATAAATCGTTGCTTTGGAGATGTTCAATTCCATTTACATGAATTTCAATGATGATTTCGGTTGATTTTTGATGAGTTCACGCACAGTTTCGATAGAATTTCCGGTGATCACGGATTTTTATTGGCCCACATGCTGATCATCATTTATGTCCTCACGACCCCTTTGAAAACGTAGAAACCACTCGTGCACTCTGTTACAGGATAGACAATCAACACCATAAACTTGTTTCATCAATTGAAACGTTTCGCTAAAAGTTTTATCAGTTTTAATACAAAAACAAAATTTTATGTTCGCTCTTTGTTCGAAGCTCATTTTCGCACGGATAACACAAACATACTGACACTTAAAACGCAATAACTTAATTTCCAATAGATGAAATGTTATGAAGTTCTCACTTGACAATTGATAAAGATAACAGATTCTAACGCACAAGTCAACATATAGGTGGCACCACCAGGGGGCGCTAGCTTCAAAAAGTCCTGTTTACTTTGAAATACACCTTGTATTTAACAAAACCTATGTATATATAAGCGATCAACAAACGAACGGGAATACACAAAAATTAAAAAAACGTTACATTGTAAAACATATTTATCTTCTGTTACACTGCTATTTCAATGAACAGCTGTGCGAGATATGGCTTTACTATTAAAGATAGTAGTTACGCTTAAAGAAAGTCTCTATTGGATGGCTATCTTAAATATCCAAATTAAACTTTTCTCATCACTAAAACATTCTTTTTCAAATTCGTCCTGAAAAAACCGATAGTTGTTGGAAAACATTAACACGGGCATCTCTATGTTGCTTCTTCATTCGCTGCTAGTTTTGATTCAAACTTAATGGCATAGCTATAATATGCATATGCAGCCGTATGTTACTGTCAAAAAATTAACGAAAAGCCTGTCAAATGCATAAGGAACGGAGCGTAGACTTTTGAATGACTATAATGTACTTACATGCAGAAGAGAAAATGGCCAATAAACAATTCGTGAGTGAGGGAAATAAACAGGAAGAGGAAGTAGGATCCTTTTTTGTACGATTCCTAGAAATGAAGGGGATTGACCACATAGATTTTTTATATACACGCGATTGAAATGAAAGGCATCTGATTTGTCGTAAAAACATTTATTTTTTCAATATTTTCGACTAAACTTTGTATAAAACCTTCGTTGTCCTCCATCTTCAAATTCAAAATGATGTATCTGTTGACAAAAAGCGAAAACAGCTGATTCCGTACGGAAGATGCGACCAGTTTCGCATTTTCCTTAAGCAAATGACAGCTGGTACGACGAGGAGTGCGGAGAGCGGAAAGAAAACAGGCTGCCTACCTCGCAACGTTACGATCGACCACAACACGTGCGGGATGGAATAGATACCGAGGGTTGAAGAGGGAAGCGAAACGCATTTGCAGACAGAAAAAGAAAGAGGCCGAAATGCGTGAGTACGAAGAGCTTGATAAGCTGGCCGACAGGAGTAATGCTCGAAAACTCTACTCAGAAGGTTTCAAGGCCGGAGCATACTCTTGTAGAACTCCCAAAGGTGATCTAGTCACCGATGCCCAGAGCATACTTAAATTATGGAGGAAACACTTCTCCAGTCTGCTGAATGGCAGTGAACGCACAACGCCAGGAGAAGGCGAACCCGATTCCTCAATCGATGACGATGGAGCAGATGTTCCATTGCCCGACCAGGAAGAAGTTCGAATAGCAATTACCCGCCTGAAGATGAACAAAGCGGCGGGGACCGATGGATTGCCGGCCGAGCTATATATTGCTAAGGAGCATGCATATTATAGTTTTTCCTTAAGGTTGGTATCCAGCTCTCAAGTAATTGCTCAAGAAAAAATACATTATTTCTTTAAGTAAAGAAAGAAAATAAACTTTGTGCGTAATATGTTTGTATGTATGTGTGTCGTCACATAAATTTTTTCATTGCGATTTAAGGAATGTTGTTGATGATTGGTAAGTTTTATACAACTTTTCAAAAGGAAATATACTTCATAACAATGAATTTAACTAATTTAGGATGAATTTAACGATTACTTTGAATTCAATTCAAGAAACAATTGTTGTTTTGATGTTTCTTCGCAAAACTAGGTTTGCCATATTCGCATTTTATTGAAAAAATTTATTAAAAATTATTACTAGATTACTTTAGAGCTGCATACTAGCACAAGTAAATTTAGCGCAGGAAAGTTGCTTGACCGTTTCTTAAGCGTTTTTTATTTGAAGTTTTTACATTTCTTGAGAGCTGGATACTAAGCTTTAAGTCTAATTTTGGTAGACATAATTGTACTTTTGTCTGTCTGCAACTCATACCTTCGTTTGTTGCTAAGTAATAAATAAATCTCTTCTCGCGCTTATCAATTGATACTGAGACGCTTGATACAATATAGTTCTTGGAATCTTTCAAATAATTGCAATGTACATACACACCTTCCCAAAATAATAGTTCCACGATAAAACTTAGTACTCTCAACAGTTTAAAAAACTTTTTATGGGCTGAGTGCTACAAGTTATGCTGTAAGTTTAATTAAGATAATATGGCATCGCCCTTTCTAAGAGAATGAAGTATGTGATTCCCCGAATTAATGCATGTGTCAGTTTTGTGTGAATTCTCAGAAAAAAAAAATTGCTCAATATAATAGTTACACATAAGTGAACTTAGCTTTTTGCGAAAACAAAATTAATTTTATCCAGTTTTTCAAGTTTTTTTATCTGAATTGGTAAGTTTTCTTTCAATCAAGCTCAAAATGCTGCAGATAAATTAAATTATTTTTTAATCAGATGGGTCGGAAGTC